GGGGGGGGGCTGTGGGAGATGGGTTGCCTACACTATAAGGGGGTTTAAAACACATGTTGCATTATTTTCAAGCGTGCCACTGGAAACGATCGGGTTCTGGTCGGCTCGGGTGGCTCTTTTGATAACTAACTACGCTCCAGCTCCAACTGTCGCAAAGTACGTATCGTTGTTTAGAACGGGGCTGGTTACCCCCCCCCCCCCCTTGTGCCCTGGTAACAGTTTCTACCGGGTGATTCGGAGAAGACGAAGGTGCGGGCGGGTTTGCCTACCCAAGGGGCCATGGCCCCTTACGGGCAGAGTGGGTAGGCAAACCCGCCTGCACCTTAGCGTCTTCTCTGAATCATCCGGTACGTGCGCAACGACCCACCCAACTCTTTCACCAGGACCAGACACCAGTCGCACCCCCTGGAAAGAGATAAACAACCCCGCTCCGACATCAGAACCGTCCATTTCTTTCCCAAAACAAGCTAGGCCCACATATCCGCCTAACATCGTTATCAGTTCCGCTCCGTACAACTGGGGGCAGCCGGGGCAGCCCAGCCCAGGCCTCGTGGCGCGGGGCAGGCGCGGGGTGCGCGGCGTTTGGTCCCTGTCATGATTCCCTACACCGGCGGTCCCAGACCCAGATGAGACGCCTGGTAATGTGCAACCCGCGACAGTAACAGTCAATCTGAAAACCACCTGTGGGCAGGATTACAAGTATATTTCCATGTGCCAAAAACACGAATAAAATGTACCGATGTATTTACAGCGCCCGTTTCCCATCTCTTTCCCCCCTTCTCTCTCTCAGTCACACACACTAAGACGGTTTTGGTCCTTCCCCGACCAGGCGCAATAGAATGATAATAGGTCCCACTATTTACTATCACTGGACGGGCAAGATAGAAACATGGTGATCGGGTGCAACGCATTTAGCCAGTCGCCCAGTCGGCCTGTTGCGGCTGCACTGTAGAACATCCGAAGCGCACTCGAGATACCCATTTCCTTCCCTCAAAACGCTTGAGAATAACTTCTGTCCTTACTTCCTTGGATTGCGAGAAGTCCTTGCTTGGCTTGTTTTTCTTTCTGTACTCTTGCTTCTTATTCTTCTTCGAGTTTCTTGCAGGTTCCCTTTTCTTCTTCCACGCCGCTGAAGCAGACATTATTCGAACTTCCAAGTATTGGAAAGGATCACTCTGCACACACCACACACACACACACAAACGTCCTCCCGCTTCAGCGGACGGTGC